CCATAAACAGTTTTTCACAACTGTCAATCACTTTCTTACTGCAACTCAAAGTGATCAAGTTCAGCTCATGAGTGAGAACAAATGGAACTCTGTTCGTTGTTTCCGTGATAAATCACTAAAAATGACATACCTCATATCCATCAAATGTTCTGCCAAATCCTTAAACATGCCTTTTTTTATGACTGCATAATATTCCACTGTGTATATACCGCATTTATTTCATCCATTCCAGCCTTGATGGGCAACAGGGTCGGTGACATGTTTTTTGCAATTGTGATTAGAGGTGCAAAAAACATAATTCAGGGGGGATCATTTGTATGAAATTATCTGAGTTCCTATAGGTATATTGTATCCAGGGGAGGGCCTGGGTTCTCCGGCAGCCTTATACCGCGCACCCGCAGGCGAGGCCAGAGACCGCAGCCCCCGACAGCGACTTGCGAGCGTCACCTTTAAGGGACGCCCCTTTGCCCCTTCTCCACCCTCTCCCGCCAGCCTCCTCTCGGAAGCGCGCCCTCGCCTCTACCCGGCCACCCGCTTAAGTTCCTGCCTCTCTTCCGCAACCCCCGCCGAACGGCCGGCAAACTTTTCTACGGTTCAGAGCGGCGGCCGACGCAGCGGGGGTGGGCGGGGCGTCCCTGGTGGGCGGGGCCCCGAAACTCCGGCAGTCGCTCCGCCCCAGAGGTTCCAGAGGTGGGAAAGTGAGAAGCGGGTCTCGGCCTAGATGCGTCCAGGATGGGGCGCCCCTTGAGCTCCCCCGACTTCTGGTTCCTGCGTCCCCGCTCAGCGCCTCGGGCCCGGAGCGCAGCTCTCCCGCCTCGGTCCGGCCTCCAGGCGTCGAGTCTGCACCCACGCTCCCCGGGGCGCCGCAGCGCGGGCCGTTTCTGCGAGTATCGCCGCAGCTTGTTGCCTCCCCTTATTACCCTGGAACCCCTGAAGCCAAAGGGGGATTTCCTTCCCGGAAGCGCTCGCCTTCGCCCGCTCGGCCCGCGGCGGGGCATTGTTCGGGGACCGCCAGGCAGGAGGGGCGCGGAGGGAGGAGGCAGGAGAGAGTTTTCTGGAAAAGTGGCTCGTCCAGGGGAAGGAGTGCCCCAGCGATCTGCGGAGAGGACACTTTCCTCCTTCCTTGAATGTGGCTCAGATTTCCGAAGTTGATTTCCTCAGCCTTTTCGTGTTGTGTTTTAACGTCTCAGGAGAAAGCAAAGTGTGTAGTTCATAACGCAGCCCTTGTCACTTTGGAGGAGACTCGTTTTTTCTTTGCGACTGGGTTCCCGACCTTTCTGGGCCGGTGTGGGGACCCGGCCG